TGTGTGTGTGTGTGTGTGTGTGTGTGTGTGTGTGTGTGTGTGTGTGTGTGTGTGTGTGTGTGTGTGTGTGTGTGTGTGTGTGTGTGTGTGAGAACCGTTAAAAGGGACGGAGGCGGGTCCCGGGAGTCAAGAGGAAGAGGGTGTGAAAAAGCACCGGGATCAGATCAGGGAGGAGATGAATGTTTAATGATGGAGGATTAGAAAGAGAAACATCCATTTACATTTAATAGACTTTGATCCGCTTTCAACAAAAGGAGAAAAGATCATGAACATCCTGGAGTTCAGGTTTTTATTCAGAGCAATAAACGAACAAAAGTTGAATTAATAAAAATATGAAATGAAAAATACAAACATTTCTTTAATTCGGTCAAACACGTGAATCTAAATGGTTTTGATGATTCACTTTAATTCCATTATTTGAAATGACATTAAAATTCACCTGAGTAAATGAATAAATAAATAATACAGAGAAGGTTAAAGAGCATCAGACTTAAGTTCTGATATGTATATTTTTTAATATAATTAACTAAACTTTTAAAAGAACCATCAGAAAACTTGCATTATATTCAAATATGAAAAGTTTCCAAATCAGATTTATGTGTGAAAACAGCAGAACCTGAAGGTGGATCAGTGACGGAGCGGCAGCAGCAAACAGAAATCTGTTCTGGATGATAAACGAGCTGCTCGGTGTTTGTTGTGAGGATTAACTGAAGAGTCTGAGTGTTGACACACCAGCTGATTCACTTCTCTCTCCTCCGCTGCTGTTCACTTCGATATTTGTGTTTTCTCGATAATCACTGTGATCCTTTGATTCTCCTGAGAGCAATCACACTCCGACCTCTTCATCTTGTTTCTCATGAAGACGGAGATCAGTTTGATCTGTTCTGAGGCTTTTTCATCATCTAGTTTGTTTCTGGATTTTAAAAGCGTGTTCTCAGTGATGAGTGAATCTCGATCCGCTGTCTGCATCTTTAATTCACAGATTCAAAAACACAGAGATACAGTGAGTGTGAGATGAAACTGGATTCAGTTAGTCGGCCTCCGTCCAAAGTTAAAAATACCCAAACTAACATTCGTAAAGTAAAATGTTCTGTTTCGATCACAAACACAAACTGTGTCTTCAGTTATTATACAAGTGATGGAACTTTACTTGATTTACAGTGGTGTGTACCCCCCACGTCAACAATCAAGAACAGACTGTTTGAAATCTTCTGTCAGTTTCAGCTCAGTGTCACATTCTCTGTGACGATTTAATTTATATTTTATTGGATTAAACTGCACACAGGCAAATATTTAGAATGCCAAGACAGTTAAATTTCAAAATTACCAGGGTGGAGGGGCCTCTCCATGTTGTGGCCCCGGTTTAACGAGGGTCTCGATTCTGTGCGTCCTGAAAATACAACGAGGCCGGCAGCGTTTTTTAAAAGTCTCAGTTTTAGGGACCTTGAGGCTCCAGAGAAACGTGGACAGTGTCCCCCTCCGTTCCAAGTCTTGATGCTAAGCTAAGCTAATCACACCCTGACTCTCCTCATGTCTCAAAGTGTTGCTTACATTCAAGGTTTGTTTAATTGTTGAGTTTGTTTCTAATAATTCTTCAGTTCATCAGTAACTTCTTTTATCTTCAAACTGAAACCGTGACTCCAGTTACGTTTACATGAGAAACAGAATCTATTGGAGGTTTCTGTTGAACTCGATAAACATTAGTTTGTGTTTCAAACGTCACAGCTCGTTAATGACTCAACTCGCTGCTTCTACAATTAGTCGATTTATCATTTAATCAGTTGAACACAAATATTTCATTACATCATGGACTTTCTTCTGTTTTCTGATAAATTAAGTCAGCAGCATGTTAACATCTAGAGAATCATTAGTTTCAGAGCTAAAGTTCAATAGTTGATTAATTGTTTTTATATATTTCAACTTCAATTTGTTCCTTTTGTCTCGAAAAAACCAAAAATCCAATCTCTTGTTTTCTTATTTCAAGCAAAAAAATCTGAAGCAGCAAAAACTGTTCAGCTGATAAACAACATGTGTTTTATATTCATATACAGATTTCATGTTAAATGAAAACAAGAGTTCACCGTTCATTAAAAAATCTAAAATGTGTGAGAGGCATTTTTATAAAAACAGGTTCTTCGAGAATTTTTCCGTCTATTTCTTGTTTTGACTGTTTGGTTAGTTCACTGTGTGACGTGTGTGTCAATGAGTTGAGCCCTCTGTGTGTGTGTGTGTGTGTGTG